GACGGAGTTGAGTGCGGGGACAAGAGGCCAAGTGCAGGGGGTAAGGCACCAGAGATGTGACAGCCAGGGGCCACCGCCGCTGTCCCTGTCTCCTGTGGTGGGAGGAGGAGGGAGCCAGAGCTGGGTCGTCAGCACCCAGAGAGCCCAGAGCGGGCACAGGCCCGGGCGTGCGGGGTGGCTCCTTCTCCGGCTCCTGCCTTTGGAGTCCAAGCAACGTCTCAATCAGCCGGAGCGGCCAGAGGAGAGGAGGGGAAGAGGGGCAAGCTGAGAGAGGCCCGGGGAGAGGAGCGGCGGGGAAGGGAGGAGCCACATGGTCTCCAGGACCGAGAAGGCAGCTGAGCGTGTGGCGTGTCTGTGCACGTGGATTCTTCTTATTGTGGTAAAACACACATGGCGGCGGCTCTGCCACTTGGCCACGTTTGAGAGCCATTTGGTGGCCTTCCACACACTCACCACGTTGTGGGAACTCTGTCCCCATGAGACACCAACCCCCAGGCCAGCCTAGTCTTGCCACCACCCCGCTGTCATGCCGTGGGCCTTGCACGAGGAGCCTGCCGTGCTTTGTGCCTGGCTTGCATCGCCCAGCTAGTGTCCCCAAGGTCCCTTGCACTGTGGCTCCCGTCCGGCCTTCCTCCCTTTTTAAGACCCACGGAGAAAAGACTGACTTCTGTGCCTTGGGTATATTTGTTGTCTCTCTCTGCCTTAGAGCTTTTTTGTCTTTCATGTTCTGCGTCGCTGTATCCCTTTGTCTTTAGCTGATTTTTTTTTTGTGGTAAAATGTTTAAATTCCTTGCCTGTTTCCTTTTGTGTATATTCTCTAGCTATTTTCTTTGTAGTTGCCATGGGGATTACATCTAATGCCCTAAAGTTTTTACACCCTAATTTGGATTTATAGCAGCTTAGCTTCAGCAAGGATGGCACTTGCCCCCTGGTCTCTGTCACCCTGCAGCCGCTGCTCACAGCCCAGAATTGCACCTCTGCTCGTGTGTGTGAGAAAGGGGAACGGGGAATGGCGGGGTTGGGGGAGGGGAGGGAGATAGCGAGAGAGGACGGGAGCTCCGGTAAGGACAGGCCGGGCCTGCCCCAGGGCTGCGAGGGGTGCACACAGCGCCCCTTAGAGCACCCCACAAATCTGGGAGGAAGTTGCCTCTGGGACAAGGGGCAGAGACTGCCAGGAGCAGTGCACACACGGTCCCTGTCCTTTCAGGCACAGGCTTAAGGACAGCCCCCCAGGAGCTCAGCCTGCCGGCTCTGTCCTTCTTTCCCCATCTGTGGGTGTCCAGCCTGGACACCCTCCTTTCTCCAGCAGCCCCTCCCCACAGTCAGGTGAGTGTCCTTGAGCCCCCCCTGTGCTCCAGAGCTGAGGTCCCCAAGTGCGTCCCACAGACCTGGATGCACGCAGGTGATGGGCACTTCTGGAGGCAGACCCCCCCACCGTGCCAACTGCACCCCAGGCTCGAGCCCCAGGGAGGGCAACAAGCACAGCCCCTTCAGGTAGCACCCCGCCTGTTGGGACCCCAGCAGTCACCCACTCAGGAGTCCCGGCACTGGGACCCGCTCTGGGGTCACCTCCAGGGTCACCAAGCCTCCGTCCAAGACAGAGCACACTGGTCCTTCCCCTGATGCGCCAGCCATGCTGAGGAGAGGCCTCCAGGGTCAGCAGTTCCCCTGCCTGACCGTGATGGGTGTGAAGTTGGTCTGTGTGCCGCCGGATGCTGGGGTGGACGGAGGCCCAAGCAGCGACCGAACACGGGCTGTGCGCAAGGTCTGCCGTCAACCTCGTCACCAGCACTGGCTGCAGCCTTGGCGTCCCCAGGAAGGAGGCGTGGCCTGGGCGTACTCACCAGGCGGCAGTGGCTCCTCCTCTCACGTTGCTTTCTATTCTGTTCTTTCTGTTCTGCTCTCAGGGGCTCTCTCCTCCGGATACAGAGGGCTTGTGTGACGGTTGCAAATGGCTCAGGAACTGCAGGAGCCCTATCGGTACCCCTCACTCCAGCCTGGATGAAGAGGGGACTGATCAATATTTTGAGGCATTTCAGAGCAGCCTTGCAGTCAGTGTTCAGAGAGCATTAGAAGTTTCCATTCCTGGTAAACGCCTCAAGTACCATGTGGACTGACAAGGCTGAACTTAAAAGCACACTCACGGCCGCACCCACACCGTGTGGGAGATCCCACCCGCTTCACCCCAGAGCCCTTGTTCGGTGGAGGTTGGCGCTTTAGGACAGGGCGCTGGGGGAAGGGCCTGCCACAGCCCAGCCAGGGGCTGCGGCTGGAGCCAGAGGGGTGGGGAACGGCAAACCTGAGGGATGTGGGGCTCTGAGTCTCCTCCGGGACAGAAGAGGAGGTGGACTCAGCTCAGGTCCTGGTGACCGTGCCCTCAAGGGCGGATCCCTTACCTGGGCCCATGCCCAGTGGCGATGGCTGCCTTCCCCCAGGACTGGCACAGCAAGGTCCCAGCATCACCACTCCAAGGGGTGCAAATGACCCTCAGAAACTTCAGGTCCTGGCTGCAGATGGGGTTCCAAGACCCTGCCTTTCCCGATACCCACTTCCCCGGGAACCCCTTCTCCAAGCTCAAACCTGCACAACAGCACGCTCAGCCTAAAGCGCCCCTCGGAGACCACGGCCCTGGCCCTGGCCCCGGCCCCTCTTAACCATGGCGTCCACAGAGCCAGCTGCTTCCCAGGTGACCTGCACTGCTGGCACAGAGTCCGGGGATCGGGCCGACGCTCACTCCCCTGCTCTCACGCAGGCCGTTAGGTTTCTTGGGCTGTTGGAGTCTTTCTGCTTCTGCTCACAGACTGTCTCAGCCTCTGGCCACTGTCCAGGGGCTCCCGGCCTTTCTTAGGGGTCAGCAAGAACTGGGGCAGAGCCCTGCCTCTTCTCGAACAGGGGAAACTTGTCTCCTGCTCACGGCCACACACAAACAGGACCAGCTGCTTCTGGACATCTGCTCCCCTGCTCTGTCCCCGCAAGCGCTTGGAGCTGCCACTGCGGAGGCCGAGCCTCTGTTTACCCACCACAGGCTGGTCTAAAAGAGCTGCTCTGGACATGTCCCCACGTGAGACCAGCCTTCCTGACAGGCGTGTGGCGCGTGGGCACCGGCCTGCACGGAGGCCAGGGTTAGCCTGAGTGCCTCGCGTTCCCATGGAAACAGCGCAGAGTCTGGCGCAGGAAGTGAATGCCAAATGTAAAATATTTGCTTAATTTTCCTGTGAGCAGAGTCTGAGCTGTTTACTCCTGGTGCTGCCCAAATGCTCAGGCAGTCACGCTCATCTCCCTGCAAGCCCCCTTTAATCTCTTCCAGCTTTAATTGGTTTTTCCAGCGGGCTGATTCCCGGGAACACGGCACAAGGCGGGGCCGAGGGGCAAGGGTAAACACAGCCAGGCCCAGGAACAACGGAGCAGCCCAGCAGGTGGTCTGGAACCAGGCCACCCTGAGGGCCCTGCCACAGCCCCTGTCCGAGTGGGTGTGGCCCCAGCCAGGGTCTGCGTGGAGGACGGTCCTTGCTCTGCCCGCACGGGTGCCTAGCGATTCCGAGAGCGCCCCCTGCACGCACGCTCGCCTGGGTGTGTAAGTCAGACCTCAAGGGAAGTGACATTCACTTTCCCCTGAACAGCACAGAACGCTGCTCTGGGAAGGGACTGCGGACCTTCGGTGCTGGGGGCCCGTTCTCTGGGAGCACCCTGCACCCTGTGCCCAGTGTGGGGGTCTACAGCCAAGCAAGCAGCTGCAGCCTCTAGGCCACCCTGCCTGGCAGGACCCACAGACACCGCCTGGTCCCCCAGAACCCAGGACCAGGGGCCGGTGGGGGGATGTGACATCCCCTGCACACCCGGGCATGGGAAAGCAGGCGGGGAGGGCAGCGCTGAGCACACGGTGGAGAGGGCAGGCCCAGAGCTGTCTCTCTGGTGCCCCTTGCAGACCCTGGCAGACCGGGTCCTTGCCCCGTGCCCTGTGAGGACGGCGGTGGCCCTGGACCCGGGGCCTACAGCCCCTTCAAGCCGCAGCCTCCTTCCCAAGCCTTTCATTAGAGAATCAGAACGGCCGCCTACTTCATCTTACAAATTCATATTCATTAAAATCATATAATACGGATTTACGGCTGTGTTCGAGGAGAATTAAGAGGATAAATAACCCGTGAGCCGAGCCTCGTGGCTTCTGCGGCCCTCTGCGTTATTTAGACTCACTTCACTGAGTTCTTAGGGGATGCTGATCTTAGTACTAACAGTTCAAGCACTCTTTTATTAACTTTAAATTTTTATGTAAAACACATGCACTTAATGTGCTGCTGAAAAGTCAGGAAACTCAAGGCAAATATTGTTTGTACACATCTCCTGATGATCTGGCACGATTCTGACATCGGTCACACTGGACGGGGGACAAGGCAGTGCCCTCCTCCCCGGCTGTAATCTCAGCACCCTGAGGCTCTTCGAGTTTGTGTCCATGGGCTGGGTGTAGGGTTCAGAGCCCTGGGGTTCACGGAGGCACCAGCAGGGGTGTGGGAGCCCATCCAGGCCTTGTGAGGGGTCACAGCCATAGTCCTGGGGGTCTCTCATCAGCACACTTCTAATGCTGTCACCCCACCGGGGCAGAGAGCTACTGCTGCTACCAGGGCAGGAGGGGTGGCAGGTGTTATACCCAGGTTCAGGCACATGAGGGTCCCTGTCCCTCTCAGTTGGGCTTGGCGCCCCAGGGCCCTGAGCCTCGAACTAGCAGCCATTCTAAACTCCTGAGCAGGGGACCACCCAGCCGGCCCCTTCCTCTGACTCACCCTGCCCAGGGCCCTAGGGCCACGCCCGTTGATTGTCCCCGAATGTCTGGGGCCCCACAGGCCTCCAGGAGCTCCAGGCCCTGTGGCCAGGCAGGCAGAGCCAGCTGTGGGCAGCAAGAGCAGTGACCTCCCAGGCCACACAGGGTCCAGGTTGGGGGTGATGTCGCCTGGCCACCCGACCCAGCCCTGCTTGCCCTCAGCAGTCATGGTGGGGAGATGCTCATATGGGACCCTTGGTGGCTACCAGGCATCCGCACTGCACCACAGAAAGGGGCGCTCCAGGTGAGGGTCCCCCAAGAACCTCGACAGTAAGACCCCCGCCCCGAGCCCTTGCCTGCGTGGAGGCGGCCCACGGTCAGGCACAGGCCTGGCTCAAAGATGGGGCAGGAGCCTCCAGGACGGGGCCGGCCGGGCCACCCACAATGTGAATCAGGGCTGGAGACAGAAGAGGCAGCGTCCCAGCACCACTTGGAGCACTGGTCACCAGGCCACTTGGGGACCACAGGTCAGGCGCTCCCTCCCTGGGGTCCAGGTCCCTCGTGGACACCTCCTGTGACAAGAGCCCCCACCGCCACGTGGGGTCCCCTGGTCCCCACTGCGGATCCCTCACTCCCTTGCTGCCCAGGACCCAGGACTTCCTGCCCCACCCGCAGACCACTTCCCCCTGCACAGGGACAGCACTCTGAGGCCTCTGGCAGTGCCAGGCACTGTGGGGACAGCCCAGGGGACCAGCGGGGAGGAGCAGGTGTTGTGACGCTGCTCCGTACCCGCACACAGGCTGCAGCCGTCCAGCATCACCACCGCCAGCACTGCCAGCCTCTTGCTTCCGGGGTTGTTTTTGCATCTGTGGCCCCAGCATGACTCTGGGTCCAGGCCCAGGCATCCTCATCCCAGCTGAGGGTGTGCTCTGAGGCCGGGCAGCTGCCTCCTCAGACCTCTGAGCCTCCCACAAAGAGCCGATGGTCCTCCTGGTGCTGAGCACCTCCCCACCACGCAGACCTGTGGTCGCAGCCACAGAGGATGCACGGTGCCCTTCGGTGAGCAGCGGGACACAGCTGTGCCTGGGGCAGATGGGCACCTAAGGCCTCCTGCCCCAGGCAGGCCCCAATCCCAGGGAGCCGAGGAAGGGTGCTGCTGGCACAGGGGTTCCCAGCTGTGTAGGCCCAGCAGGTCCTGAGACCCTGCTCTGCAGACCCTGAAGCCCCACCCAGGCTGGGGCAGAAGCAGGGGGGAGCAGAGAGCACCGCCCCCCATCACCAGGTGCCAGTATGCGGGAGCTGCCCCTTGGGTCTCCAGGGGGCTCCCTGGGCCCTCCCTGGGCCCCCAGAACCCCTGGGCATGGAAAGGCGCCTAGACCCTGGGGCTATGGTCTGGGGTACAGGAGGGGTCTGAGTCAGGCAGGGCCAGCCTGTGACGTCTGACCCCATCTCACTGCTCCTCAGCTCCAGCCTGGGGGGCTGGGGGCACCTGTGGCCCTGGCAGTGACGTTCCTGTTACCTGTGGCCCACCCAGAGGCCCGAATCTGCGTTAGTTGCCCACAACCATAAAGGACAAAAGGAAAACGGGCTGGACAAGATGGTACACGCCTTTAATCCCAGCGCTTGGCTGAGGCAGGAGGGTCATAGAGAGTTGGAGACCAGTCTGAGCTACACAGCAAGTCACTGTCTGTGGAGAAGGACATTCTATAGTTCACCTTTCAATGTATTACCTATTTGGGACCTCGGGCCTGACCAAGCCATATGCTTGTGTGATTCTGGAGGAAGTCTAGCAGAAGCACTGGTGTAAAAGGAAATGATAGCGGGACCCGTGTCCCTGCGGAAAGCTGCGGGACAGCACTCGATGCCTTGCTGAGATGTGCCCGCGGGAATGACAGCACGACGGCTAGCTCAGTCGGGTCTCATTCCTGTGATAAGATGTATTGCCCTCGCTAACCCTGTTTGTGATTCCTCCCATTTGCCCCGTTGCTGCTTTTTGTGAGAATCCCAATAAAAGGCTGAAGTAGACCGTAATGGAGGCTTCAGTGCTGGAGGCTTCAGCCCCCTGATCCCACAACTTTGTCTCTCTTGTTTTTCTTTTCATCCCCTCACAGAAACTGACTATACACCGACACTTGTCTAAAAATTAAGTAAAAGAAAAGCACCTAGACATGGAAAACGAGTTTATTCTCAATTTGAGTTGGGGGTTGTGCTTTTATCTGATTTTTGGAGCTCCATGGTGAGCAGGTGAAGGAATCCCAGTCACGGGCCAGATTCAGGTCCCACCCAGGACACAGAGCCACCTGTGTCAGCCAGTGGGGAGCTCAGGGCGCATGGAGATTCTGGTTCTATTTGAACCCCTGGGCCCAGGGCCGGGGTGGAAGGTTCTGCACTCAGCAGGAGGAAGCCAGAGAAACAGCTGCTCTAAAATCTGCGTCTTTGGAGATCCACTGCCCTCTTGCTGCGTCCCAGGGCTGAGGAGACAGGATTCGCACTTCAGCCCTGGAAGCAGCTCAGCTCCTCCACAGCCAGCGGAGCCACCAGCACACTCCAGCCGGGCAAGGAGCCAGCAGTACATCCCCTGGGGTCACCGTGGCTGGAGAGGACAGAGCTCTCCCTCTAGTCCTCCCTCTCTCCTGGTCCTGTTCATGCTCCCACCCGCCTGCTTGCCAGCCTCCCTGCCACTGATGTGACCACTCTCACCTGCCCCCTCGCATGCCCACCCCAGAACATGGCCAGTCCCTGGTTGTCTCTGACTGGTGCAGCCCTCTCAGGCCTGGTTCACATCCTGAGTTCGGAATTGGTCTTCAGGTGGGCATGAGCATCAGTGTGTGTGTGTGTGTGTGTGTGCACGTGTGTGTGTGCATGTGTGTGCGTGCACTGTGCTTGAAGGTGGAAGATTCATAAAAGATTTCTCTGGAATTGCATAATTCCCTCTAATCCACCTTCCTCTTGAGATCCTGACGGCTGCCTCCTTTATCTGCCAGCCCAGCTGACCTTGCATGCAGCGCGAGACCTCACACACAGCGTGGGCACCACACACGCAGCACGGGGACCTCACACACAGCACAGGCACCTCGCATGCGGCATGGGGACCTCACACACAGCAGAAGCTTGATACCATCTGCACGCCCTGAGCAGGAGACAGAGAGCGGCACAGCAAGCAGGAGGCATTCAGGACCCTGGACAGGGCAGCCAGTCCGTGCTCCCCCGTGCCCAGCCAGGGCCACCCTGCCCAGCTCCGCAGTGGACATCTGCTTCCCCTGTGGGCTCAGAACAGCTGCCTCCAGGTCTGCCAATCTCGCAAGAAAAGCAAAATTTACGCTGGGCCACAGCCCCTGGGAGCTGAGGAGGAAGCCCCTGCTCTGTGCGGCCCAGGCTAGGACTTCCCACTCCACCCCTCCCGCACTCAGTCCCCGCTGTGCCTCCGTCCACGCCCCCTTTCCGCTCTCCTTTCCCGCTGTCCTTTCTCATCAGAGTTCACAGGGAGTCCCCTTGGCGGCCGGCGCCTGTGAGTTTAATCAAGCGATCTCAGGCGCAGTCAGCCCGGGTCTTTCAGCAGCATGGGCTGCTGCGACCCAGATCACGCTCTGCTGTGACTTCCAAAGCCACTTGCTGGTGAGGACACTGTCCTTCCTAACGGCCGCTGTGACACCTACAAGGCGGTTTAATGCTCGGAGCTAACATGAGGGTGAGAGGAAAATCACCTGTGCAGATAATTGCTGTCCCTGCCACCTACAAATCCCAGGTGGTCGCTGTGGTAAGATTACCAAGGAAGGCCGCTCCTCCTCACCCATCATGGAGGTGGTGGCTCCCCTTGGGGACACGTGCCACCCTCCATCTCCCCTGCCCTGGAGGGATGGTGGGCATGGGTCACTGGGGGCCCTGCGTGGCCCATGGTTGCATCTCTCTGAGTGACCTGCACATCAGTGTGTGAGGGACAGCTCGGTGCAGGACAGGGAAAGGCTCAGGGGAAGGCTCAGGGGAAGGCACTGGGTCCCCTGACCTTCGCTCTGACCCTGGTCCCGAGATGCTGAAGAGTATCTGTGCTCAGCCTGCTCCTGGCTAGAGGCAGAGCCGTGCTCTTGCAGTCCTCAGAGCTCTGCTCTGTGCATCAGTCCTCAACTCTGCACAGCAGGCTCCAGGGACTCCAGCAGATGTCCACCGCCCCGCCAGGAGTCCCCAGCTAATTGGCCCCTGGTGTGGATAGGGAGAGTCCCAGGTGAGCCTCACGGACAGCCGGGAGAGACAGAAGAGCCAGTGTAAGGTTTTGGCGCTATTGAGAGACCCTGACAGAGATAAAAGCCTTGATTTATGGTACGGGCGTGGGAGGGTAGCAGGAGACTGCAAAGGCCTTGGGAGAGGGAGCTGGGGGTGGGTTTTTATGAGGTTGGACTGGGGGTGGAGTTAATATGGGCAGGCGAGGTGTCCTATCTCCAGAGGACTAGGGGTTTGTGGGCGTGGGCACAAAAAGGGAGCAGGAAGTTAGTTTGGGACGAGAAGAAGAAGGCAGAAGTTAGTCTTGGACGGGTGGGCCACCCCTGCACAGGACAGGGGCACGAGGGAGGTGCTCACCCAGGGGCCCCTGCAGCCTCGATGTGATCTGCAGTGCCCAGTGGACTAGGAGCTGGACACCAGTGCGGATGGGAAGACCGGATGGGAAGACAATGCCAACGCCCTGTGATGCAAAGACACCACACAGAGCCAGCGTTGCCTTCCTGGGGTCACACTGCATGGGCTGAGAGAGCCCGGCCACTGCCGACTCCACTCCCAGGATAATAGAGCCCGGTCCCTGCCCCAGCCTGGCCCCTGCTCAAGGTAGGGACAGTGTCCCCTGCACGGTGTGGGCCTGGAGGCCCTGATGAACCTGTGCTGGCCGAGCCCTACTTTAGCTGCCCCTGGAGCCAATCTCAGTGGCACCACTTGCCCTGCACCAGTGTCCTCCATCCCGGAGGACAGGGCTGACCTCTGCTCCTCCCCGTACACAAGCCAGGGAGTGTGCGGATGGCCGGGGTGACAGGTCCCAGGACAGGCAGCGTTGCAGGATATCATGCCACCTCCTCCTCCCCGTGGTCACCGGCTTCCTGTCTCAAGACTGGGGCTCCCTGTGGCCAAGTCCTGAGCCTCTGAGCCCAGCACCCAAAGCCCTGTCTGCATGCATGACCTTGGCGTGTACTGAGTGGCTGGTGGTGGGTGGCTGCCTGCAGGCTACCTGGGGGCTGTTTTCATGGGGACTAATCCGACAGTCCCTCCGGGAGGGGTGTCGTCCATGATATAAACCAACATGGAGACACCCCGGCCGGAGACTTTGAACACTGGGTGGAGACTATGCCACAAAGGCCAGGACCCCGCTCTTCCTGATGCTGTGCATTCTGCTCCCCAGGGTCGGGAGCCTCCTACCGTCACTAATCCTCCCTCCTGTGCTGGTTTCTCAGGGTGCAGAATGCAGAAGGATGTGATCTTAGATGCTTCCATTCTCATTTCAGAAATGCAGAGCTGTGTGACAGGGCCACGTCCTGGCCAGGATTCCCTGAGAAGGTGGCACTTGAGGCTGTGAGAGAGAAGTGTGTAGAAGGTGGAGAGCAGACTTGGACAGACCCCAGGTCCTGCGGCACGGATGGCCACACGTGATCGGACAGGGCAGGGCACACACCATGCTGGGAACACCACCACCGTGGCTGTAGTCAGGGTTTGCAAGGAAAACAATACAGGACACATAATTTATGGGATTACTTTATAACAGTCACGCAAAGAGCCAAATGCAGGAGAGTGCAAGAGCTCTGTCTATACACTAGAGACCCAGAGAATCCAGCTGAGGGCCTGAATTCCAAGTTAATCTCCTGCACAAGTCCAGCTGAAGACCTAGAGCTCAAGACAATGTCCTTCACGAGTCCAGTTGGAGGCCAAGAGCCCACAACAATGTCTCATGCACGTCTGTACTGAGGATCTACACTGGGAAGGCCCAGGGTCAGTGGCGGAAGCTAGAAAGTCTGCACCAGTGGGGTGAACGATCTCTGCCAGCAGGCTGAGGGATCTGCACTGGAGCTGGGAAGTGATCGTCAAAGTAAGGACCAGCGCTTCCCCAAGGTAAAGGCAGCCATTCTGAGCAGCTCCTTCGATGGTGAGAGCAGCTGAGTTCCCATCAGGAAAGGCAGCAGCATAACAAGCACTGCAGGAGAACCAACAGGCCCAGAAAAACCAACAGCTCCCTAACAGCTTCTCCTCTTCTCCAGTTCTTTTTATTTTGTTGTTGGCAAAAGTCCTCAGGTGGGCCTCCGACACCCAGCACCATGCTGGTTTGGTCCATCTGGATGTCACAAGTTGAACACCAGTTGTCAGTCCAGCGCAGTGGTCCTCCCAAGGTCACTGAGCCAAACCTGTCTTTCTCTGACGGGAGGTAGGCGACTATTCCTAGCAGGGAAGGCCAGTTAGGCGCTACTGTGCAAAAGAATCCCTCGTATGAGACAGAAGACGGGCTCTCCTGCAGCTGTGGTGCG